CAGTCAGTATCTATTAATAGATATAAATAAATATTGAGAGGTCTGTCGACGTCTTAATAAGCTATTATTAATGATGATGATCAAGATGATGATGATGGAAAAAGCGATTAATTGGAGAAACTATAAGGAATGATGGCATAATGTGTTACGGAATACTCACATCTATCACCATACAGTTATGTCTACATTTTCTTTGTCGTGTGAACTCATTATAATACAATCTTCGTTTTCGATCTTCTATCTCTGGCGGACCATAATATTTATGTGATTTAAACATACCAGCTAAATTCTGCAACAGATATGATAGATAATTGAACAGATTTTATATTCAAATACATGTATTTATTTATTTAACAGTCAAAAGAAACAATTCGTGGCTAAAATGCAGACATATTCATAAGCAGCATTTCGCGACACGCGACGCGGCGCGACAGTCGCCGCGAATATGAATATGAGCCTCTAGCTTTAAGGGTTTTAAAACAAACATTGTAATTTATTGACCCAATTCTGATGCATATTACGTAATTAAAATGTCAATAAAATACACATTCTACCTACGTAACTATGTACATATTTACAATGCAGCCTGTACACCTACCGGTAAATTCACAAATTAGATACATACATTTCTCATTAAAAAACCAGCCATCGTTTTAATGTTAATTGTAGCTACGAAAGCGAATGTTATTGCTCCCCAAGCAATAGCCATGTACTTCGTTATGGAAGCTTTCATTTGTACCAAGTTATAGACACTACGTGCAGTGCAACACTGAAATGAAAGAAATAACAATTTAAACGACCATACAAATCGTGCATATTCTTTTCACACGTGTATGGACAACACACAGGCAGTACACACGGGAACACATAATAAATAAATTGGAGGTTGTTAAGTTTTGCATATTCCCGTAGGAATTTCTTTCCGCAGTTCTTCGACAGAAAAAAACAATAGAAACTAAGACACTGTGTGTAACATAGTACATTTATAGCACACAATGAGTAAAATCAACTAAAATAGAACATTTATTTGTAGAAAACATGAAACGAAATTTCATTTTAAACATGTTTTGCAGCTTCCATATACAAAATACAATTGCGAACGTAAATTTGTAAGTACTCACAAAAAGTGCAGCTGGAAGTAGAGCCCAACTTATTGTCCAAAACCGAGTCGGCCTGAATCCTAACAAAAATTGTATATCAGTGCAAAATTTCTTCAATCCGTACAGCCACATGACTATGGCTACATAAGCACCACCTAGGTACGTGTCAACCAAGTCTATACCAAGAGTGAAGCGTCGATGCAATGATGTCACAATCTAAAACAACAACAATGGTATTGAGAGATGTGTTTTATTATCTTCTATACCTACAAGCATAGATTCAATGGTATTCTTCGTGAAGTCTACAGACTATGTCGCCAGTTAATCGCCGAAGGCCACTCCTCCTGCAGCAGAAGTACATGGTATAGTACGTTTTTCATAAATTATTATGTATGCATCCTAATTTATTTTAGTAATTTTTCAAAATAATAAAAACTAATAAAAAAAGACCAAAGGTATGTAAGTACGTCATTAATCCGTTTTTGTTATTCTACCCTGCTTCACCATGTTGCCCTGCTCCACCATGTTACCCTGCTTCAGGCATATTAGTGAGGGCGTGAAGAACGGTCTCTATTTGGATTTATTTTGGATTTGATCAAGATCTAGGTTACAACAGGCTAAGGTTCCTCAGATCCAACGTCGACTAAATAATGGTCCGCGTATTAATAATTAAATAATCGTAAAAAAGGTCGCAGCAGACGCCATTGCGTTCTCGAAAAGTTCACTCAAAGTAATGAATATATACAAACACGTTAAAGAGTCCTGGCCAGATAATAATTGCTTTTAGCACACAGATAATAAATAAAACTGCAGAACTGGATAAATATCATAAAATATTTATCATAGAATGTATCTAGGCGTAATAATAATGTATTATGTTATAATTATTTGTTTCAGGTAGATATATCGAGGTATTTCACGAATAACGCTTACGACTTTCAACTCGCATAGCGTAAGTTTAATTCGCGCGAAGTGAATGAAGTGGCGGGCAGAAGCTAGTTTGAAATATTTCTGGATATGTAACTTTCCTTTTGGCAGTCTGCATCAAAATTTTGGTTTTGACGGAACACTAAAGAAAAACAGTATTTAAAATGAGGGCTTACAAGATAGTTGAATCGAAACGAAGAAAAATGTCCTTATTAGAATTCGTATCACGAAAACAAAAAAGTGAATGATACATTTTACTGGAGATGCACGCGGAGCAGTGCGACAGTTTGTGGTCCTGCTGTAAAGACTTCATTTATTGATAACAAACATTCGATCATGAAGCAAAACAAAGCCATGGGTATTTAATAACCAGAAAAGCAAATGCTAATGGAATAAAAGTACACGTTTTATTAAAAAAAACATAGAAAATTAGCTATAACATCCATAGATCCTCTGATACCAATTGTAAACCGCTGCAACCAGGACATTCCAAGTACGAATGCTGTCCACTTGTCAAAACAGCAGCCCGAATGATTGTTCACCGAATTAGGAATAAAGGACAACCGAAAATACCTAAGTATTATATTAAATTTCGGCATACCGGACAATCTTTTAAAAATTGGAGGTGAGCAATTTTAAATCGGAGAATATACCTAAGTATATCAACTGGAAATGAAAACATCGGACTATACGATTTGGTCGTTTATTTAAATATACGCGCCCACGGAATCATATAGAAAGGAATATACATATATAGGCATGGCCTACCAGACACTAGACTCCGCAAAAAAAAAAAAGAATACACAATAATAACACAGAAATAATAAAACTCTTGGTAGTGACAATATTGGAAACGAAGTGTCGTAATCTCTATGTATACAATAACTCAAACCTCTATAATACCTGTTCAATAACATACATAAGAAAGGAAAAGTACCAGAGCAATGGTCAAAGTCTATAATCCCACCGTTTCACAAAAAGGGAGATCGGAGTGACCTTGGAAATGATAGACCTAACAGGCTTATGACAAAGTACACAATATATTCTAAGGTTATTTTAAAATAATTTTAAGGTCATTATGGTATGAACGTCGTTTTATATTAAAGATTACTTCGAGAAATAAGAGATTGATTCATATAAATATATTTTTTAATAACGTTGCCCCACATCACACTAGTATGTTCTCCAGTATCGTGGCTGCGTTTATAAACATACAATTTCACATACACATGACACTCAGACGAAAGAACAATCTGTGGATTACACAAAAAGTTGTTCCGTCCGGGAATCGAACCCATGACACGTTGCGTGACAGCCAGTTACCCAGCCACCGCGCCAACCATGCATTCAGTTTAAAAAATATATATACATATGACTAAATTCACAGGATTTTATGTACAAACAAACAAATATATGTAATTATATATTTCCATTTTGTTCAAATATTCATAGTTATTTCTGCTTTCTGTGAACCAAGGTTTCTGGAAACAGTTGTTTCTATGAACGATGTTCATGGGAAAATGCTATCTGTGAACAGATTTATCTATCAACAGTGTTTACTAAGGTCCGGGATATCTGCGAACAATATTTACTACCAACAAAATTTTCGGCGAAACGTGCTTTCTAGTTTCTAAAGGTATATAAGATAAGGTGTAAGGTGGGTAGAGCAAACAGTTGAACTACATATATAGTTTTTCTTAAAGGTGTGTAGGCTGTCTGGACCTACGATTTAACTGTAAAGGTCGATTGTACAGTTAAAACTGCACGACTAAATCGGAAAATGTGTAGCCTGTATAAAATACAGATGTCTAAGACTAAGGCTTCTTGCATCGAAAATTGTCGGACAAGCGTGTTTCTATATTACGTTCCAGACTAATTTAATGACGATATCATGTTACTACTATACCGATTTATTAGATATCTGTGAAAATGCTACACATCAGATGGTTTCAAGTTACAACAACTGGAGTTGGAAGAGCTCCATTGTCTGTTGTATTCATCAGATTCATCAGATCAGACAGCTGCATAACATCACGCCTTTTATCCCCGAAGGGGTAGGCAGAGGTGCATATTACATCAACAGTATATTACTCTGCTCGGACGGAGAAGGTTTGAGCATTAAACACCACACTTGCTCGATATGGGTTGGCGATTTCAAACTTATAATTAGAAATTATAAGGTCAGGTTTTCTCACGATGTTTTCTTTCACCGTTTGTCAGTAGTATCTGAATAATCTAAGAAAGTACATATAACTCGGAGTAAGTCACATTGGTAGGAACTTGCCGTTAGTAAGTTTCGAACCCGCACTCTCAAGCATGATAAGGAGTCTTAAACTTCGAGCCACCACAACACCTTCATGGTGCATATTACAACACTTATTTAACAGACTATTATGTTTTTATGGGATAAGCCGGTAAGCAAGCAGACGGATCACCTGATGGTAAGCAAACGGCGCCGCCCATGGACACCCGAAACACCTAAGGCGTTACAAACGTGTTACCTTTTGGGGATTAGGAATTTGAGGATTTGAGGATTATGGGAATAGAGAGGGGGTAATTGGTAACGAAAGAAACACAACGCAAGCGTTGTCTCACGTCGGTTTTCTATGAGGCCGTAGTAATCGTAGTATCATCCAGTCGATGTATATTCAATTCAATTACATTGATAAAAAATCCTAATGCCACAAGTTACTGATTTGCCAACCAGTCAAAGAATTAGCAAATCATTAATGATTTATACGCACATAGGTGTTTTTTATATTCATAAACGTGAGAAACAATAATTATTATACTGACCGCCAACAGTGGTAAAGACAGAGCCAAACCCAAACAGCACAGCAAACCAACAATATAAACTTGCTTGACGGAACTGAACTCATAACTTAGGAACTTTGCAAGTATAGCTATTAGATATGTCTGGAACAAAAAACAGTTACATGAAAAGAATGAATTTTTCACTCCTGGAAATTCATATTGAAACATTCACCAAATATCAAGCTTGGCCTACCCTGGAATGTACGGCCAAAGTTACAATTATGTAAATGGTGAAATAATTTACTGATATACTTAATGATCGACATTATTCGGTTTTCTAAAATCTCTCAGTAGTAACACAGTGTCAAGAATTGTGCCCGGTATATAGCAATATGCTCACACTCTGTTACAAGGGACTCATTTAATAACTGGTGAAAAGTTTGGTTACATCGTATATATGGCATTATGAGCAATGGCATAGGTAATGATGTCCAGCCTACCCCTGAGGCGATAAAATGCGTGAGGGTATGAGAAAAATCATTGGCTTATTTTCATTACCTACGTGACAAAAATCGTCTCAAATCGAATCGTTTCAAATTCAATAAGAAAATAAGCTCAAGATGGATCACGATTGTTTATGGATTCTACAACTGGAAAGAGCAGGTTACATGTTCAACAAAAAGTAAGATTTTGCGATATTGTGTTTACTTACCATAAAAGTTAACGTGCTAAGGAATACATCTCCGTAAAAATAAAATACATACAACTTATGGGCATATAAGAATTCTGTAGTCAACGGTAAAATGGCGTAAACTAATACATGTGTGCTATACTGATCTTCTATTTCCACACATCTTGTCATCGTTATATATAATATTTTTACAATCCATGATCTCAAAAATGACAAAAATGTGAACACTGCTACAAAAATTACAGATGCAGTGTCAATCATGGTATACGTAGATAGGGCACCAAAGTCATAAATACCCAAAAACCCAATGCCGTATGCGTACGCTACATGTTTGACGGATAACATCTGCAAAAAAACAGAAGTACATTATACATGTAATAAATTCGTACAAAAATCAAAACTGTACATTATAAATATAGCCAATCTAGCACACTTCATATATAAAGAGCATTATATATTATATAAATAAAAATAAAAATAAAAAAAAAAATAAAAAAGCCTTATATTTCTTACTAGTTTACAAAGAATTGAAAAATAAAAAGATTGGTTTTACGTAATAAGATTTCCTTTGCTTTACGTCCTACTCAGTTAACGTTGCTTGTAGTAAGAACCCCTCGCGTTATACGAAGGTGAAGGCCTCCTCTAGTGCTTTCCATTTGTCTCTGTTCTTGGCGATATCTATCCAATGTTTGCCAGCCACTTGGATTATGTCGTCTGTCCACCGCGCGTATGGTCTACCTCTTTTTCTCGTGCCCCCTGGGCCTGGCCAAGATGTTAGGAGGGAAGTCCACCGGTTATCTGCATACCTAGCTATGTGGCCAGCCCAACGCCATTTTAGTTTCATCGAGTGTCCTAACGCGTCGGTGATCTTGGTTTTTTCCCTTATGGTTTTGTGAGATATCTTTTGAATCCTTCTGATGTTTAGGATGCTTCTCTCCATGCTTCTTTGGCATGATCTGACTTTCGTTTTTATTTTGTGTGTGAACAACCAGGTTTGGCACGCGTATGTTAGAGAAGGGAGTATGCAGCTGTCCATAACTTTTTGTTTTATTGTTATATGGAAGTTGCTTTTCATGACCTCCTTAAGACTCCAGAACTTTTTCCACGCGTTTAAAATTCTTCTTTCTATTTCTTGTTCGTTTCTTTGTGCGTGGAAAGATATCTGTTTGCCCAGGTAGATGTATGTGTCAGCATATTCCAGTTGTTCACCTTCTAGATAGATTGGGCTCTTTATGTTGTTCGTCATTATGCTCGTTTTGTTTCGGTTTATTTCAAGGCCGGCTAGTCTGCTTGCTGAGTGCAGAGAGTTTATCATAAGTTGTAACTGTATTGCATCTTCTGACAGCAGGACTATGTCGTCTGCAAATCGTAAATGGCTGATGTACTGGCTGTTTATACGTAAGCCCAGGTTTGTCCAGTTTAACCTGCTTATCACCCATTGCAGTACTGCAATAAAAATTGTAGGGGAAATAGGGTCGCCCTGTCTGACTCCTCTCCTGATAGGTATCCGCGGACCTGTTGATTCTAGTCTTATTCTACTGTAACAATTACTATACAGGTGTTGCAGAACTCTCACGTAGGTTGGTTCTACACTTTGTACGTGTAGTGATTCCCAAATTGATGTATGATGAATAGTATCGAAAGCTTTTTGGTAGTCTATAAATGCAAGGTAGAGCGGTCTACGGAACTCTTGGTATTTCTCAATGAGCATTTCGATAGAATGGATGTGATCCACAGTAGAGAAGCCCTTTCTGAAACCCGCTTGTTCTATGGGTTGGTGTTTTTCGATATTAACCCTAACTCTTTGTTCCAAGATTGATGAGAATAGTTTATATATGGATGATAGTAAGCTTATTGGACGGTAGTTGCCAATATTATTTGGGTCTCCTTTCTTGTACACTAATATTATGTCTGACTCAGCCCACTGTCGTGGTGTTGTTCCTTCTGACAATACTAGGTTGAAGAGCTGTGTTAACGGTTTCACCAAGTATGGGCATGCTATTTTTAGTGCTTCATTAGTTATTCCATCGGGTCCTGGACTCTTGTCTTTCTTCAGTTTGTTAATACCCAATATTACGTCAACTTCTTCTATTGTTTTTATTTCAGAAGGTGTTATGGGTGTAATGGTTGTGACTTGATTGAACTCTTGATTGTCTGATTTGTATAAATTAGAATAAAAGTTTGTTGCTATTTCGAGTACTTCATTTCTATTGGTGGCTGTTTGGTTTGTGGTTTTCATTTCTCTAATCCAGGTTCTATGCGTCCTTAGTTCTTTATTTGCCTTCTTCAGGCTACCAGACTGTATTACATGTTTTTCGATTGTTTTTAATCGATGGATATTGTAGTCGGAGCGTATGTATTTGCCAGTGAGTTTGTAGAGAGCCTTTAGTTCGTTTTTCATGCTACGTGTTTTTGGTTTAGTTTTTTGTAGGATTTGACGTCTTTTCATTAATTCTTTTGTTCTGGCTGACAAGACAGAAACGTTACTTTGGCGCTGAGAAAGTCTATGGACTGTTTTAAGTGCATTACTTATGGTGTTTACAATTTTGTCGTAGCACTGCTGCACTGTACAGCTTTCATGTCTAGTATTTTGATGTTCTATGTTATTTTGAAATGATTCTTTGTATAGCTGGATTTCTTTTTCTGTTTTTAAAATAAATTTTGTGTTGCTAGTGTAAGATTTTCGGCTCTTTTTTTCATAACGAATCTGCAGTAGTGCTCTCACCAGTCTATGGTCGCTTGAGTAGTTGACATTTATCACTTGCAAGTCCAAAGTGTTGTTAGGAAAATTGGTCAAAATATAGTCTAGTTCGTTTTTGACTAGGCCGTTGGGTGACTTCCAGGTCCATCTTTTGCTTGATTTCTTTTTGAAGAACGTGTTTAGTATTGCGAGTTTATGTTCATAAGCAAATTCTATAAGTCTGGTACCTCTTTGATTTCTGGTTCCATAGCCGTAATTTCCCATTATTAGGTTTTGTTTATGTGTTGGTTGTCCTACTTTGGCATTAAAATCACCCATTATTATTGTTAGTCTTCCTTTAGACATTTCCATCGCTTTGTGGACAGTTTTATAAAAAAGTTCAATCTCAATGTCGTTTGCTGATTCTGTAGGGGCGTAGCATTGTATCAAGCTTATTTCTGTGTTATTGACATCCAGTTCAAGTGTGGCTACTCGCTCTGATAGGCCTTGGAAGCTCACAATATGTTTTTTAAAATGTTTATTTATAATAAATCCTACCCCATACAGGCCTGGTGTTTGTCCTACATAGCATAAAACAAAATCTGAATACTCTTCTATGGTGTTTCCAACACGTCTAACTTCTGAGAGACCTATGACGTCAAATTTGATTTCTTTCAGTGCTTCGCTTAATTCTAGAAGGTGAGAATGTGATGATAATGTTCTAACATTATAGGTTGACACAAAGATTTTTTGATTAGTGTCTGTAGAGTGCACTAGAGGGTTGTGGTCTACATCTCCCACGGGGACCGGCCGTTTTGGGAGTGATGAGGAGCAAAGGGTGCAGCTTAGTTTTTTAGAGGATCTTGAGGGCTCTGCTTGTTTAGGTTCCTGGATGAGAAATTCGGTTGAACAGGGTGCATGAAACTGGTTATATTTTGGGATTTAGTCTTTTTGGGTAGCTGTTTTGATTGTTCTCGTGCGTCTGAAGTTTGGCCTTTGCTTTCTGTTTCAGGAGATTCTGATAGAAATCTTTTGTTGGCACTATGTGGAGCACTTTCTGTTACTTTTGGTGGTACTACACTGGTGCTTTTTTCATTATAGTTAATTTTTACGATTTTGTCGTATCGTAGCGCTACTTTTTCTCCCTCTAGACGTCTTCTTTTTAGTTCATCTTGAAGCTCTTGTCGTTTTTGTAACACTGCAGGGGGGTAGTCATCCTTGATGTATAATCCAGTATTGTCCAGAGTTCTTTTATGTTTCAGGAGCTGTATTTTTCTGCTGGTTGTGGTTGTTGAGACTATAACTGGTCTTATTCTTTTCCCATCTTTCTTTCCAAGTCGGTAAACCGTTTCAATTTCCCATCTCTGGCATGTTACATTCATTTTTGTGTTTATGATTTCCAAGATTGTACTTAACAGGCCCTCGTAATTTTTTTCCAGTTCAGGGACGCCAAAGAAAATAACTCTCTTCATCCTTATCTGTTTGTCCAAGTAGTCTATGTCTTTTTGTTGTTTTTCTAATGTTTGTTCTAGTTGTTTAGTTCTCGTTTCCATTTGATTAAACTTTTGATCAATATGATTATTTATTGCGTCTTTTATGTTCTCCTCCATATCTTTCATGTCTCGTTTATGTTGTGCTAAGTCATGTTGGATGTTTTGTAACGCTTTCATAATCTCTTCCATAGTTATTTGTATTTATCAATTGCTTAAATACTTTGTTAAATACTAGGCTTTCTATTTCCTATTTAATATTGATAATTTTTTAAAGTAGCAATACAAACATATAGGGAGATATGCGCAACATCTATGGCAACACTTAAATTGTCAGTATGCCAAAAGCCTAGTTTTCAAGTCGCGAAAAGAGTGAATGGTTTTTATGTCACTATGATTTCGCTATTGGCCACTAGATGTCGGTAATATTTTCTTTGATCTGTTTTATCGACGTCAATGAACAAAGACTTTTGTTTATTTTAGATTTTCGAGCTAAAAAGATTGTTTTTATTTTATCACTCTATTCTCTGAAGCACCGATGATTGTTCTCTGTAGTTTTTTATCACAGATTGCTTCTGCAACGTCGACTTTAGCCTCATATAAAACCACTTTTTCCACTTTGTTTTAGATTGCCTTAAAACACTTGTCACTTACTGGATAACATAACTCCATATAGTTTATATATTATATATCGTTTTTATTCCCGTATTTCCCGTCCCGTATTTATAGTTTATATATATTATATATATTATATACGATATCATAATAGTAACAGATTTTTACTTACGATATCACTTGGCGCAGCGATATCCACTATTTGAGAAAATGCCTCAGTCGCAACATCTTCCGTTGAAATAAATATAAATATAAGTGTAAGTAGTGTAGACATAGCTCTACACATAAATGTTAGTTTAAAAATCTGTAAAAAAAGATTTTACTACCTTTAGTTATTTTAGATTTTAGTATTAATATATATGTATTATGTTTCAGATATCAAGATGTTGAAAAAAGGCGGACACAGTCTCTTGAAACAACGACGACAGTGTTATGGTCATGTGCAAAGCGAGTAGTGGCGGGCAGATAACGACCGCAGCGCACAACACGGCAGAAATTGGAAACAAATGCGGATGACGCAAACCCGGTTTCATATTCATTTTACAGTATAACTATTGAATAGATTGCACTTAAATAATGTCAACAATACTATTTTAATCTTTAGTTTTATTTATATTTGCTAAGAAAATTATTGCGCAAATGTTGTAAACGCTACGCGTCGCCACCGTCGCGCACATGGCCAATAGACTTACTCGCAGAATATACACACAATGACACGAAGGACATCTGTCATTTTCTTAAGTCTAGTAACGTGGTAATGCCTAACACACGCACACATAAATAACCCCACTGACATTTTTGTGCTTCTATCATTTCTATTCTAAGTAAAATTATATCCGCCTTTTTTTGAACGTACTTGTATTTTTTTAAAGGGGGAAATCATCGAATGACTGCTTCCTGCCTGGGTGAGGAGGGAGGGAGTGTCAGACTCTTACTGACTAAAAACCACCCCGTTCCTTCTCTTGCACGTCGAGCCGGAGCCCCGGTAACCGGTTAGGTTCTCCGCGACGAACGTATAGGATAGCAAAATTGACGTATAGGATAGCAAAATTGACGTATAGGATAGCAAAATTGACGTATAGTATATTTGATTATCATAATACATTAATAGTAAAAATAGCTCTACTTAAATATGTAGGTATATTAAACATGTGATTTGATGAAATATATTACAGGCCTGAACAAAACCGTCAAAAATTATCAATAAATAAAATAATATGCTAACAACTCTATAATATGTATATATTAATGGGAATCTATACGTAATTCGTCATTGTATGCAATTCCCAAGAAATGTTATGTAATTTAATTTAATTTTAAATAACTACTACTTAGATAGAGACTATGTAAAATGACGATGAGCTCTTTTAAATTGGTACCAAGAAATGCAGCGTTATTAAATTTATATTTTGCAAATTTGTGAAATGGAACAAGACTTAGTACCTCTATATAAAAGACGTCGCAAATTGATTAAACTACATTTAGAATTCTACAGAACGGACGTTGTCATCCCTTTCACAGGATTTCTATACAATTCCTCAACTTCATACAGTTTCGGTAACATATGCACAAGTATGAGTGGAGGGACAGGGATTAATTTTGGTTAACATCGGAACCCTTGTGGCAAAGGTAGTGGCTTACATGACCTAGCGAAAATAAACAAACACCCAATAACACGTAGTCCACCTACAAAACGTTACAAGCGACCTATTTATAATTGCAGCGCATTTTGTACATTGTTACACCGATGTAGCGACGGGGTCAGTAGGAAAGTATACTTTTACTCTCTGAATAAAATATTAATCACAATAATGTAAAAAAAAATAATAATAGCACACGTCATTCGCCGCGCACTGACGGAGCAGCCTCGCGAGGCGAATGTTCGGCCAGTCAGGAAGTGACTGAGGCCTTAGTACGAGTTTGATTTACGTTTAAGTATTCGAAACGAGTATGCGTTCGGTACTCTGATTGGCCGGCGCCAATGAAGCAACCAATCAGAGCGCTGAACGCGTACTCGCTACGAATACTTTAAACGAAAATCAAACTCGTACTAAGGCCTCTGACCCGAGGGCCCAAGGTACGCGCCGCCTCGCTCGAGCATGCCGCGGACCGAGCCGAGCGTTGTGGGTTTTTGATTGTCAAAGGCTTTTTCGATCCAAAAATTATAAAATTCAAGGCTTCCTCGCGAGGCTGTTCGGTCAGTCAGTACGCGGCTTTTACTATATACGAAAAAGAATACCTTTACAATAGTTTCTTCAGTAACCGACGCAAAAAAGAAAACTAACATCCAGACCAGGCCAAGAATGAAAAACCTTGACGTCAAAGTGCTTCTCTCTATGGACATGAATGAGTCTCTGAAAGTCAAGGATTATTTTATTGCAGGGTATATTAAATCTGGTTAAAACAATATTGCAATTGTAACTACCTATTTATGTTGCTATTGCACCGACGTCATAATTATGATTATGCTATTTTCAATGCTACCTCTTGATGTACATTACCGTCCGTCTTAAAGTGGTACACCGATCAGTGTTCAAACAGCACAAAGTACTACAGTATTCTATTTTCGATGAAGTAAATGTAAATTACATATTATTAAGATGTAACTTACAAATAATTAAAATAAGCAGACGTTTCAACAAACTTAGTAGAAATGTTATGATTGCAGCGCACCATTATGTCCTTGGCTGCTATACACAACGTGCCGTTGTCGGTTTGACAGGTCGACCAAGGAGGCACTTCTCGTAAACTTAGCACTAAGAATCTTAAGCTGTCAGCTAAATATGTTGCATGCTGAAATACACAGATAAATAAAATGATGAAATTTACGTATTCCCTGATAGATTAAGCAGAGGTGGACAAACTAATTATATACATTAAAATAAATACACATTTAAATAAATGTATAACACCCAGTTTGCGCCGACGATTGGAACCACCTTGATTGCAACCGTCAAGTTTATTGAGTAGTATAATATAATTATGGCACACTTTGTTCATTCCAGTAGCCATTCCACTAATAAGCATAGTATATACTGTAGGTGAGTTATCATCATCAGCCGTAAGGCTTCCACTGCTGGACCCATTGTATTGTAAATACAAGTAAAGTATATAAGTACAGAAGTGCAAAAAAACATACACATATACTTTCAAACACTAAAAAACTTGTGCATGTACCGAAATGTTTAAAAAAAAATAAAACTTATGATGTTATTATACTTACAAGAACTACAAACTTAGAAGTTTGTAAAAACCTTCCATACGATATCCCCCGCAGAAGTGGATTCATGTATTTAATACAATCAAATCTTCTGGTGTATTGTTTTATAAAACTATCCATGCACATATACGATATACCTATAGTCGATTCAATTATTATAAAATCTATAACTCTCACTGAAAATTAAATTAAATAAGATAATACAATTAATTACCACTTAAATAATTGCAGTTAAATCAATAGCGAGTAAACCATGTAATAGATATTTACGACTATATCTAAAATATGCCTAAAGCCACGTCAACTTTCTACAAGAAATTCGACACAATAACATTACTAAGCTGTAATCAGTCGTTTAAAACAAAACTACGTTAAATATAACTAGTTTTGCAAAACAATAACGAGCAGGCAAGTAATTAATAAAAAGCATCTGGGTACCGTTTTCGCACACCTTGGAAAACACATCAAAATTATAGGCTGTTGAAGCGTATGTGATTGATAAGTAAATATACAACTTTATACATTCCCATCGGAACACTCCGTCACCAAGGGTTTCCTGAAACGAAGTACATTATACTACTAAAAGGTAATTCACAAATTGGTTTTCGGGTTTAGCTGCGATTAGTACGACACAAGAGATAACTTAGATTAGGATTTTCTCGGGTGCATTTTTTATCAATTTTAAAATAACGTAAGTAAAAAATAGAGATGTAACTCATTAAGGTTATGTTGTACAAGCACTTCTTAGTGGGTACAAAACTCACTTTAGGATATCAAAGTTATTCAGAACAGTTACATCAAATCTCACTCTATTTAAAAATTGACTTCTAGACATCATATTTAGCTCAATCCTAACCCTCTCTTACTTGACATTTATAATATAATTGGTGCAAAGTGGGTGTAACATCGTAGGTCCGTCTCTGTCTAGGCCTTCGGGTATAAAACGATTACTTTTACGTTTTACTCAAGTCAAGCCACCATTAGTCTAACGCTCTAGGTGTTGATGACGTCGGCACCAGTAAAGTTCTGCGTGTAGGCTATACGATACCAGTCTACCAACACTATATGTGACATGTTTTAGTTATACAGGATAGAGATACATATAGCAGAAGATACTATCTGATCACCACAAAATTTTGTATACTGGTTTCTACTACTATAGGAGACATTACTTAAAAAAAATGTTACTCCATACAAAGGTGTAGTGAATAACCAATCGGCGCTGCCCATGGACACCGCAACACGGGAGTACCAGAGCGTTGCTAGCCTTTTGGGGCTTAGAGATTTGAGGTTCGGGGATGGGTGGAGGGATCGGACCTCCAGTAACCTCAGTGACATTGCTTTATACCGGTTTTCTGTGAGCCTGTAGTACGCCAACAAAGTACACATAAAGCTCCGCAAAACCAGTGTAAACTGGTCGTTGAAATGGTCGGTCATACAAAATAAGGACACGATGAACTGTTTTTTCTTGTATGACGTACCACAATGTTTGATTGAGAAAGAACTTCACGATACCTATCAATTGACATACTATGTAGCTACTTACTTTTCGACTGGCTAACAATGTTATACTAGAGGATCCCAGATCTATTACTGTGGCAGTTCGTAGCATTTTCAAGGATTCTGATTAATTGCACTTTAGAAATTTATCACCTAGGTAGACTGAAATAGAAATAAGATTTATTTAATGATAGTAAACAACACAATATCGATGACACAAAGTAGAACTGAATTCGAACGTAGGATTTATGTTCATTCACATTATGCCTAGGTTCCGAGGCAAAATTACGAAAATTCAATAAAGGTCATCTGTTATTAATGTATATGTTCCTAATACAATACACTCACATATTAAATTGTTCTAAGTTTTTGCCTACAACTAAAAGTGCACATAATAAGTAGATAGCTTAAATATCCAATATTGTTCTTCAATAAAATAATGTATTGTTATTGAATAATTACAAAATACTAATTGCATACGGCTGTATCCTATGTGTCTGTCAAAGCCATTTCAAGTTATGATGACATTTGTCAAATTTATAAAATCAAGGTTGTATTTTTATGGTACTATGCTCTTTGGTTTACACAGGGGCTTCGTTACAGTTGCTCACCAAGGACGTAGAAAAAAGGGGGACAGTCTTTTGAAACAAAGACTGTGGCACCTGGTTCATCTACAGACTTACACGCAGAACAACACACGTAGACACGAAGGACATCTGTCATTTTCTTAAGTCTGGTAACGTGGTAACCCATTACCTACGCATATCACCCCTCTGATACTTTGGTGCTTCAATCATTTCTAAGTGACGTCTTTTGACGACCTTTTTTCAACGTCCTTGTTGCTCACCCATCCCATTATCGAGGTTTGAAACCTCGAAAACCTTCCAAGGATTAACGTAGACATAGTTACGTAGTAATCCTTACTAATATTATAAATCGGAAAGTGAGTTTGTTTGTTTGTTTGTTTGTTTGTTCCGCTTTCACGCCGTAACTACTAAACTGATTGCTTTGAATTTTTGCAGATGTAAAGTTAGAAGTCAGGATTAAATAATAGGGTACTTTTTATCCCGGAAAAAATTGATATTCTCGAGGGAAAACGAAATTATTGGTATAGATGGCGCTGTGTGTATTTGTATATGTCATATAGGCTACTTTTTATCCTTTTGTGACGCGAGCGAAACCGCGGGTAAAAGCTAGTTTAATATAAATAACATATACTGACTGACTAACTGACTTATCATCGCCGAGCGTAAGCTATCAATGCTGCAAACATCAAATTCGTATTGTGAGTGTGTTATCTTCACCCGATCTTACGCCTCAAAGAGCCATCAGCAGGGCTCATACGGCTACGGAACCGCGGAGACGTTGCCGGGGGTCCCAGCTCAAAGTGCAGGAGTAGGAACGGCCCTCTAGCCTCAAGCGGATGATGACATTAGATGATTTTCCTCCCTCAAAAAACAGTATCTTTGTTATGCAGGCACTCACTAAAAAAGGAACTTGATAAAATCCACCCCTCGGAGTTCATAATGGATCAGAGCCTTGTCGCTTAGTTTATAATGGTATTTATAGTGTCATTTGCTGGGAAACAACGTGCATCTAACTCTGTCTATTTTTTTTTGCAAAGTAACTATGGACAGTTGTAATAATGTATCGTTTGGAACTGGACGATTTAGGTAAATTAGTTAGAGGAGCCTATATATACCTGCGATGACAATAACTTGGCCCGATATTTAAATAAGTATTTTACTGATAATTCTTATAACGTAGAGAATATGGCATATATGATAAGAGGTCATCGACCGGATGAAAGTAGGCCACCGCAGCGAATATTCGAGAACAGAGCATCAGTCACTGATATCGAGGTAATACATCTGCTGCTGTTTCTGCTGCTATATCAGTTACAGCTACCGATCATCCTGTCGTTACATTACAAAATGTGCTCACACAGGCTTGAACATTAGTTACAGTAGTAACAGTAGCTCAGCCCATACTAGACACAGATTGAATGAATCACATTTAATATCCTATCCTACACGGTTGGCACAGCAACTGGGCCGTGGTGACGGCGGGTCCTATTCATGCATGAAACAATCAATTAACTATAGACGTGATTTTATTTGTATGTAAAAATTTTAAAATATGTAACGCGAAGGATGAATCAAAAGTGATAATGTCAGTATAATATAATATGCAACCAAGGTAAAGGTTTTAAGTCTGTTTTCTGTCTGTTATTAGTTATTACACATTGTGTCTTATACCATTGCTACTTTTCCTGCCGCAGGTCCACAGGAAAAAATTCCAATAGGAATAGATGGTACCTTTATACTTCAGTTTTGTATGTGTGTTGTCCTTTATATTGTATGTGTGTACATAAATAATACTGAGTCACTGTCTACTATTATAATTAACTACCTACTTCCGCGCGGTTTCACACGCTCTGCTCAGCTCCTATTGGTCGTAGTGTGATGTTTTATAGCCTATAACCATCCTCGATAAATGCACTATTCAACACAAAAATAATTATTCAAATCAGACTTGTAGTTACGGAGATTAGCGCGTTCAAACAAACAAACAAACAAAAAAACAAACTCTTCCGCTTTATAATAATATGTATAATAGTATAAGATTAAATTTTCAGGTCATTTAAAGTTGGTGCACTTACATTGTGCCAATGGAGTTCCATGCTCTTTATGGCAATGATCTGGGGCTTACTCTTGAATCCAATTCCGATCGATCGACATTGATATTGTGAAATTTCGTACTCTCGAGTTGCATAGCATACTAGCGCCCATTACATACATATTGCGTGGATATTGAATGAACAAAATGGTATTGAGTTTGGCTTTATACTACTTACCCTGAATGCAATACTAACAGTTACAATTGTGGCTGTATAGTTTTGACATTGAATAATTATTGATATTTTATTGAAATTGCATTGACATTGAGATTGGTTTCAAAAGCATCCTGTTCTTCCACTCACGCTAACACTCTTTCCCTACGACTAGCCGGAACATCGAGTTTAATTGAGTGCATATAAATGCTCCATATAAATGTGTGCTTTCATCGGCCCGCGCCGCGCCGCCCCTCGTGTCGGAGCGTTTGCTCCACTGCCGCCTCCCTATCACCCCACGCTCGCATCCTGTCGCCTATACTTGAGAATGCAGCCTTAGTAGCATTGAACTTGACAAAGTTAACATCACTCAACATCGGAGAAAGCCTTAAGGGACAAGTTCGAACGTCAACCTTGGCCTCGCCGAGACACTGCGCCGCGACCTCTTAGTTTGTACACTGATCGTGTCACGCGACGGTGCACTATGTCTTAAGTATTATATTCATAAGCTTTAATAAATTGTAAGCTATTTATTTAGATTCAAAGAGCATTCCAAGAAAGTACCTATCCACTTCAATTTTTCCATGTTAGTATAATAAGGCTGGCACCTTTGAGATTAGTCGTCCCAAAAACGCCAATTACGTAATAAGTATATTTTGTAAGTAAAATCTAATATGCATCATTAGGTGTACACGGGTAAAAGAAAGTTAATTTCGTGAAATGGAAGATTTCATAAATAAAATTATTTATCTTCAACAGTATTAGGACAAATGGATTTTATTTTTTATTCTGTGAATCGTAATCTTATGATATACACGGAATTTTTCTTTGAAATAAATTATTTAGTTTCATCGTATAAAATGGAATGGAATGGAATAAATGAATATCATAACAATTAAATAAACTTTATTTAAATAATTACACAAATAAAATTGAGTTGTATTGAATTTCATTTCCTTAATGTAAACTCAGCTGTGTAGGGTCTCGGCGAAGACAATATGCCTATGACCGGTATGTCAGACGGTACCGTACCATTGCTGACATGAATCCTGTACTTTTGCAGTATACCCACGAACGTGATGAAGATGAACGACTTCGCTAAAGAGTCCCCGGGGCAGCGTCTCCGGCCTGAAATTTTATTTATTTATTTTAAATAACTTCATAATAAAAACATCCATTGCATACATAAATCATGAATCTACTAGAGTATTAAAAATAGTTTCGCAACAAAAAAGTGTACTTCGCTATCACTAACTATAAATATACAATACAATATCACTGTGCCTGGGTCACTGTTTTCATTTAATAATAAATAAAGTCGCAATACGGACAGGAAAAATAAAGCTCTTGCGTTAGTAAATATTTATTTTTACTGTGTGCTTTGATTTGTTTATCGTGTCAGATAGCTAACAGCCATGTATGTTAATCAATCTCGATTTTAGCAAAAAGGTTTTAATCATGCGAACATCAGTACGTGTACAAAAAGGGATAGTTACTCTCTATTCCTTATTTGTAATCCCGTGGAAGAATAGGAGACAGTATGCAATGCAAGCGCACAGCCAATGGTTATAAGGGATTGTCGTAACACGGTGTAAAAACTTTAGATATTCCAGTATTTTAAAATAATACCATTGGTCGTTTTGCAATCTACTAAACTAGATCAGCGATGATATTCACAAAATATTATTTTTATACAGGTATAAAATATAAACATTTGTCATTAACTGTAGACAAAAATACCTTGCAATGCAGTTTAAAAATAGTGCATTTATGGAACACCATTGTTTATCGTAATCCTACTGAAACTAGTGGCGACCATCAGTAGTTCTGAATTTTACAAACGACTTAATTTATTTTCGCTTCAATTAAATAGAATGTGCATTATGCATAATGGATTAAAGTTCAACATTAATTTTATTGCAATATATTAATTCGCAACCGTAGAATTCTAAAAAGCACGCAATACACAATGACAGTTTGAAAAGCCAATCAACTTTTATAACAAAACAAACAAAAATATCGCACTAAAAATGAATAATCGCTTCAATCGCATCTAAAATTCATGTGGACACATGTAACAGCTACAAATTAATTTAAATAAGTCAAAACCAGGTCAATTATGGCCACCTACCTGATCCAAATGGGTATATGTGTTCTGAATTTTTCAACATCCCACTTTCATCAATGAATCTTTCAGGTCTAAACACTTGTGGCTCGTCCCACAACTCTGGGTCAAAGTATATATCGGCCAAAGACATGAGTACCGTGGCACCTTTAGG